CTGCTCTCCCTTTGGGGAGAGTTTGTGGGGGTCAGCCCCTGGGTCTCAGCCCCATAAACAGTGATTGGTTAATGACCCCAACACACCATCCCAGAGCATCCCTTTGCCCCAGTGCCGAGGTGGCTCTGGGGGCTGTCTACTGGGCGGCAGTGATGGGAAAGGATCTAGAGGGTACAGCGGACAAGCAGCTGGACACGAGCTACCAGTGCAGTGCCATGGCACCAGGGGTCGTGTAATCCCTGGATGTGGAACATACACGGGTATAGTGAGCTGGGTGGCACTGGGAGGCTGACACTGAAAACCTGTGCCTAGTTCTGGTTTCCACATTCTAACAGGTGGGTGGTACATTGGAGAGGACACAGGGAAGAGACACAGGCACAGTTTGAGGGCTGGAGAAAATGCCCTCGAGTGACTAACATAAAGAGCTAGAACCGTCTGGTTTACTAAAAAGCAGACTCAGTGTCTCAGCCAATAATCACATGACTCCAGGGGCTGGGACTTTGAGGAAAACACCACATAGAGGCTGAAAACATGAGAGCCTCATCTCTTTTGTTTGTCCATGAGGAAGTGAAGTGAGTGTGTGATCGTGATCTCTAAGTACCTACCTGGGGTAGAAAGCCTGAGTAGAGGGCTTTTCAACCCAGCAGAGGAAGCCAGAGCAGGATCCAGTGGCCGGATGCTGAAGCTGGAAAAATTCAGATGAAAGAGAAGGTGGAAATTTTTCACTGAGGGTGAGTAACCATTGCAACAATTTACCAAGGGCTGCGGTGCATTCGCCAGCACTTGAAGCGTTTGCATCAAGATGGCTGCCTTTCTAAGGGATGTGCTCTAGTCTGGACGGGTGAAACTCTCTGGCCTGTGCTGTGCAGGGTCAGAATGGCCCTTTGGCCTTAATACCTGTTGGGCTAAGACAACATGGGAAATGGGGTGTTTGATGGAAAATACCTCATTTTTAAAGAGCATAGACATTTTAAAATGGAGGGTTAGACTATTGTGGAAAATCCAGTGTCATTCTCTTTTGGGATTAAGAAATGGGAGGTTGAAGATGTCCTTCACTTATTTTGTAGTTTTCCAGTTTCTTAGTGATTGTATACAATGGGGACAGAGACCTTTAGCTGACATTAAATGACGTTTTGTTCTGTGTGAATTAGTCTTAGGACAGGCCCTAGCCTCTCTGTGTTAATAAAGTACTTTATAAAAATGTATAGCGCAGGCCATAGAATTATTATGTTATAATGGTTCAAAAAAGAAACTATTACAAAGGTGACAAAATAAACCACTTACACACCTTATATGTTTTTTTGCCGTGTGCTGAATCTACGGAGAACAATTCTATTCATGCCAGTATACTGAAATGCCATCACAGAGCAGAAGGTCAATGCCCAAGTTTTTTATGAGGATTTGTATATATGGTTTTAGCTGTTCAGTTATGACACCCTTTTGTAAATGTTTCAAGGAATAAAAAGCTTTGGAAATACTCCCTTGCTTTTCTTACCTAGTGTATTTCTGCTGCTAAACTAAAGTATCGTTTCCTTCCTTTTTCACACTTTTTCGTTAGACCATCGTAATGATGGCTGCATTGGAATGGATGCAGAGAACTCTCTTACGCTGGTCTCTATCTTCTGTAGCATATTAGCTGGTCAAGACTGTAGACTTTAAAGAATCTTTGTCCAATCTGCTGTCAAGCACATCCTCACAGCCGCTGACGTTCAGATTGATGCAGCTGGAGGAGCAGTTCCATGGATGGGTGAACTCCAGGTGTGCAATTATCTCGGGGGCGGGGGGGGAGAGGGGTTCTCTTCAGAGCAGTGTGGCCTAGTGGATAGAGCAATGGACTGGGACTGTTGAGATCTGGGTTGTCTTCCTGGCTCTGCCCCTCCTGCTTGGGTTCGCTTGGGCAAATAATCCCCCCCTTTTGGGGCCTCAGTTTCCCCATCTATTAAATGAGAATCATGCTCTGAAGTACTTTGAGATCTACTGATGAATAGTACCAGGGATTAAAGTGCAGGACTCTCTTCAGCTCCCAATGGTCCAGAATATTCAAAGCCCTCCTCCTCTGTTATGGATGATTCAGTTTTTCTCTAAAGTCAGACATTCAGCAGCCGTTCTCCTTTTCCTCTGCTGACACCATTTGCTGGCACAACTTGCTGCTGCCCTACCATGACCCATGGCAGTGCTGGGAAGGGTAGAAGTTGGGGTTTGTGTCTCAGTGCGAAATGCAGCAACATCTGCCTTTCTGGGTCCCTTCGCTAGACTGTGTGCAGGGGGCGGGATGTCATGTAAGCTACTAACACAATTTAATTGTGGCAATATATAATGCTAATGGGATGACTCTTCTCCTTAGTGTACCTGGGACAGGGGCAATATGTACTAGTGGTCGGGGAGCCACACCACTTCTGTGTATTACTGTAGCATGGAAGGACCCCAGTGGTGGGTGCTGCACAGAGAACAACAGCACCGTCCCTGCCCCCAGAAGCTCACAGGCCAAGTGTAAGGCAGAGGCCAAGAGATGGATACCGAGTGAAGGGGGAGCACAAGGATACAGTACTGGTCAGCAGGATGGGCACTGGGCTCCACTCTCCAGGGACCTGTCTGGTTTTTTGTAGGGCTCACAGGCGAGGAGAGTTCTGCGGAGGGATGTGAAGGTAGCTAATGAGGCTGCTGAAGGCTCCAGTTCCTGCAGGACTTGTGGCTGCACCCCTGCTGCTCTTCTGACACCCTGCGAATCTGACAGCTCCTCAGCTTTGATCGAGAGTATCTTCCCGACACCCTCCGAGGCGCAGGGTGATGCAGAGAAATTGGTGTTGCCTGGTGGCCAGCGCACAGGCTGGCCCTTAGGCTCTATTCCCAGCTCTGGGTAAGTCCCGTCACATTCCGGTCTGAGCCTCAGTTTTCCCCATCTGTAAAATGGGGATAATGTTGTAACACTCTTTGGGACTGATGGATGGTAAGGGCTGGGTCTTGTAAGTCAGGTCTGCTCTAACTGAAATGGTACATTGGCATAGCTTGGTCGGTCAAGGGTGTGAAAAAACACCCCAACTTCCCTTTACCGACAGCCTCCCCAGTGCAGACACAGCTATGCCAGTGGAAGGCGGCTAGTAGTGTTCCAGGAGGGGATGTTCCTACACTGCAGAAAAACTCCGGTGGGTGAAGGCTGCGTCTCCCCTGCGTGGCTGCGCTGGTTAGTCTCCATAGTGTAGACATGTCCTTAGCTTCTCAGCCATGTCTTTATCTTCCTGTAATTCCAAGTCACCGCTCAGGCCCTGCCAAGTTCCTTGCAGGCTTCCTGCTCCTGAGAGAATCTCTTGTTTGGTTTGCTAGCCTTGCCTATTTGCTCTTCAAATTCCCTCCAGCACTCCTGATTTCCATGTCACCTGTGGGAGTGGCAGACGCTCTTTTCCTGGGTTCCCATTCCTGAAGGATCTCGTCTGGCTCACATCACATCCGGCCACGCAACCATCACAAACTGTCCTGCCAGCATCACTACTGCCGAGGTTTCAAGGTGCAAAGGGCTGTGTGGATGCTCTGACTTGGGTTCAAATCCACCTCATTTTGGTTTAGCTTAAAGCCAGGTCTACACTTGGGAGTGTTAATTCATTCGTAGATTCCAAGGCCCTGTGATCATCTTGTCTGACCTCCTGTATAACCCAGGCCAGAGAACGTCCCTGAATCAATTCCTATTTGCACTCAAGCAGCTCTTTTAGAAAAACATCCTATCTTGATTTTAAAATTGCCAGGGATGGAGAATCCACCACAAGCCCTGGAAGTTGTTCCAATGGTTAATTACCCTCACTATTAAAAATGTGCACCACTCTGAGTTTGTCTGGCCTCAACTTCCAGCCACTGGATCTTGTTAGATGTTTGTCTGCTAGACTGAAGAGCCGTCTGCTGTCACATTTCTGGTTCCTCTGTAAGTATTTATAGACCGGGATCAAGTCACCTCTTAACTGTGGCTATATCAGCAAAAAACCCAGCTATACTAGTGTGAAAATGTTTTTGCTGGTATAACTTATATTGGCTCAGGGCGTGAAATGAGCGATACCAGCAGAGTGCTTTTGCCACTTTAACCGCTTTGCTAGTACAGAAATGTCATACAAAATCACCCCCAAACAGCAGTTGCTGGTGAGGTAGCTGTGAAGCGTAGCCCTGGCCTACCTCAAGAAGGAACAGATTTAACCTGCACTTTCATCATGTGAAATTGGATCATCCACACCAGGGCTTCTGAAGAGGAGTAGGGGATGTGGTTCCCGCGATAACAAGGCCTGGATTCCATGCCCCAGAGGTCCCTGCCAATCTCGTGTCCTGTGGATTTGCCGTCAAACACCTCCTTCAAGCTCTCCTTTGCTGTGAGGCCTTCAATAAATATTTTCATTATCATCTGTTAAACTTTCCCCATCTTTTTCTTGTACCAAACCAAATCAATTCCAGGTGCCAACGCATAGAACAAGCCAAGGGCAAAAAACCTCTATGCCAGAAAAAAGGAGAGACCACAGACCAGATCTGTAAAGGGATTTAAAAATCCCCAGGGGCCTTCGGTGCCTAAATACCTTTACGAATCTGGCCTCTAGCTATTGACACAATATTGGATTCCCACGACAATATTCCCAGCCCTGTATCCAAACAAACATATATAGAAAAAAGAGGAACTCCAAGTCAAGGGGGAAAACGGTGGGGAAGAGACAGGGAGGGGTGTGGATTGATCACCCGCCTTTCATACATGCAGCCTGCCGGGATCTTTAGTCCACTAGTTCTAGGAAACTGGCCAAAAAAGCCTACCATCAACTTGACAAGGGTTTGGCGGCTGGTGCGCTGAGGTGGCTGCCCATCATCACATCATCTTGTGCTCCCCCATCAGCCTGTCTGGATCCACCAGGGATGGGAGTTTTGTCCTGCGTTTGTACAGTGCCTAGCAGTGGGGGAGGAGGCCCTTAGTCTCCTACATGGGCTGCAGCATTCCCAGGCGGGCAAGGCTGGAGTCTGGATTCTGTTCCCAACGGGGCGGGCCTGTGAACTCCACAACCAGCATGTCCAGCTCTCTGCTCCTGTTTCACTCCGGGGCATGCGTGTCTCACCTAGCTGTTTGTTTAAGTGCCTTCCATTCTGTGTCCAAGGAGCATGATTTCCTTCCTTTTCAGCACAGGGCCCTGCGAATCCCCAGGGGGGATCTAATAACAATAGGCTATTGGGGGAGACTCCAGAGCTTTAGGAATGAATCCAGACTGACTCCTGGGGCAGCGGGGACCATCTGTCTGCTCTGTGTCTGTGCAGCGCCTGGCATGGGCGGCCGCTGGTCTGCCAGGGTGAGTGTTGGACAGGTCACGGCTGCTCCTTGGCGCTGGGCCCTGGACCACAGTGGTGTGAGCTTGGGTTGGGTGTGTGACCCCCCCACCCGGACAGACCCAACCCCAGCCCAGTGTGATTTCCAGGTGGGGGTGTGGGCAGCTAGGGCTGCACCTCCCCCTGCTGTCCCTATCTGAGGAGGGCCGGGGACACTGGAGACAGGTGGGGAGGGCAAGAAGTTGGATTCGGAGGGCTGTGGGGCACAATGGGAATAGGAGAAAATGACAGGGGGTGAAGTGTGCAGGGGAACAAGAGGAGATGGGGGGGGGCTGACAGTGTGAGGAGTGCAAGGGGGTGCAGAAGGGCTGGGGCAGGTGGAGGGGTGCAGGGGGGTGCGGAGCTGTGGGGAATGGGGGAGGTGGGGTGC